ATCAAATAACTAATCTCCTGCCTAGAGAGAGGTGAATTTATGGTGCGACCATCCTGTTGCTTATTAGTGGATTTGCTTGCATAAAGGAGATGCTGAGAAATGGAACAGGACCGTCCCCAGAGCTCATTTTTGCTTGATGCTAGATTTGTTTATTTACTTACAATAATGTATAGACTGTTAAAGCAAGGAGTTGCCATACGTTAAAAATAAGGCAAAATATCAAATATCAAATATGGTATCTGCAAATCTAAAGGGTTTGACGGTTACCTGAAGATGCAGCAGAGGACAATGGACATTAATGGGCTCCATTAATGGGCTCCACTGGGGATACTGATGGGCGTATGGTTCATACCTGTTCCCTGCTTCTCTCCTTGCAAGAAAGAGGTGTCCCTCTATATCCATTTGAGATTTTAATCAAGGTTAAGACAAGGAACCATGGTCAGTATTAACAACAGTTAAGTATCAGAGCAAGCATAGTGTTGCCTGATTGCCTAAAGTGAACATTATGTAGGCAGTGGGCCAGAGAGACTGCACTCTTCTTTTAAAAAACAAACAAACAAACCTAAGCACAAGTCAAAAATGGCAATGGTTCTCCTGATGTGACTCACCTGATATTAGAGTCAATTACTGGCCCCAACCTGCTAGGCGAAGACCAATGAATTGGACTGACACTCTCAAACTTGGTCAGATTCCACCCGTCAGTTAGCATTGCTTGTGTTCTCCAACTCTTTCATGCATCCTGGCAGGAAAGGGACCGCTGGCTTTCTAAATGCCTTGCTGAATGCTCAGATACACACAGTGAGTAGCTGTCCAATTGTAATCTTAAGCAGAGCAATGACTCTCCGACTAGTCTCCTCTACTTGAGGGAGAAAGAGGGACAAAAGAGAGGATTTTCCTTTCTAAAAAGAGATTCTATTAATAATTGAAGTGGGAGTGCAGCGGTTCGTGCAACAGCACCCCTTCTTCATTCTCTCAAGTATGTATTTAAAAGCTCTCTCTGCTGGTTCTCATTAATATCATTCAATCCCTCCACTAACTCCGAGGGGGAGAAAGGGCTGTCCTTCCTCTCACAGGACTCAACTTGCTTTCGTGGTCTAATAACTACATTTGCTGCCAACAACTTACAGTATCTTCCTTCCACGCCACTATTATATATTTATTTATAACCCTGCCTTTTACCGTGGCTGAGACAAGACAGGTGCCAGCAACTCAAGGCAGCTTGCAGATAAAAACAAGAACTGCTAAAAGCAGGGGCTCCAAGATAGCACAACGCCCAGCGTTTTGTGTTTCTTTCTGCCATAAGAATTAGCACTTGGGGGTTGTTCACTGAAGCAGGAAGCAGGAAGGCAGGTTCAAGAAAGAAGTGGGAAGTAGCATTTCATAACTATGAAAGAAAATATAGTAATGGCCACTCGCCTAGACAGCTTTTTTTATTTTTAAAGTGATTAGGCAAAATCATGGAGGAGGAGCATCTCCACTCCCAAGGTCCAGCTCCGAGGGCCTTCTGGCGGTTCCCTCACTGTGAGAAGTGAAATTACAGGGAATCAGGCAGAGGGCCTTCTCGGTGGCGGCGCCCGCCCTGTGGAACACCCTTCCAGCCGATGTCAAGGAAATAGACAACTATCTGACTTTTAGAAGACATCTGAAAGCAGCCCTGTTTAGGGAAGTTTTTAATGTTTGAGGTTTTATTGTGTTTTTAATGTTCTGTTGAGAGCTGCCCAGAGTGGCTGGGGAAACCCAGCTAGATGGGCAGGGTATAAATAATAGATCATCATCATCATCATCATTATCTATCAAGGAATATTTTAGGCATGGTAGTTACATGGCATCTTTGCGGCATTTTAATTCTGAATGCCAGAGGAGAGCCATTGCCTTCAAGAGTTCTGCTTGTTCCTTTGAGATTGTTTTCTCCACCGTTTTAATCTGTTTATTTCCTCACTTCTAATTCTCTTTTGGGGAGGGGGCTTTATCTGTTGTAAAGATTTTCTTTCTTTCTTAAAAAGCAGTATACGTGTATTGCAAAAAACACTAATATTTTGTGGTAAGTTTCATCTGATGCGTTCCATTTTGTTAACGTATAGGACTTGTATAGTTTATAGTTGATAAAAAAACCAGATATTGTATATATCTCAATTATCCTCCTAGACTTCAATACCGTCAATATTTCTGCATCTCTAGTTCTTAATTGGGCACTGTTTCTGGCTTGGATTATCGTATCTGACTATGGCTGTAGAAGTAAGCCTTACCTAGAAGTAAGCCCTACTGAAGGTTGTGTTTTTTTTCCTTCTGTGAAGATATGCATACAATTGCACTGTATACACAAAAGCAGACCATGTGTTCACAGGCATCTGAAAATAAATAAATTTCTAAATGAAAGTATAACTTTTCAAATTTTTGAAAAATGACTGCTCAAGTGACTGGAATAAAGTCGCTAAATAAGAAAATAATCCAACTCCCCCTTTATTCAGAACATATTGCAAATTACTTAAGCACATTATTTCACTCTTGCTATACATACAGCTCACTCCAGGAGAGAAGCATTTATGCTGCCCTCATAATTAGCACAACTGCTCTAAATGCAAAAGCAAATTATACACTGGAATCTCAGAAATGGCCTCTGAAGGTTGGTGGTCACCTATAATTACAGGGGATAAATCAGGCTACAGGGAGGCTAAGGGAAACTTTGGAGGTCTAAGTTCAGATGTTTTAAAAGGGGATTTGGCATTCGAACTTGGTTTTACTCAGTTGACCGAGTTTTCAGAAGCAAAGGCTCTAATGAAGCCAGTGTTACTGTGGGTAATTAAGTACAACAAGCTACTGTGCTGCAGGATCGTGTCCAACGTTTTTCACTTCTCAAAGGATCAACAATGGACATACGTAATTAAGAGAGTTCAACCCCATTTGGTTTCATTTAAATCAAATACCTCTGCACGAGTCAAAAACTATCTGCTTAAATCATAATGAACTTTCCCCTTTCCACTCCTATCAAACCTGGCTACAAGCTGGGCATTTGCCAACATGCCCTCTCTAAGATTCTCATTGCCCTGTGTACTTTCTCTCTTCCATCTTGTCCTTCCTTTTTAGAACAATTTCATGGCCTCTGCTAATCATTGCTTTTCCAACACAACCTTTGGAATAGCGGGGACTGTTTAAGGAGGGCAGGGGGTAATCGTCTCCTGTGCTGCCAACCTGAAGCGATTATTCATCAGCAGTACCTATATCTGTGGCCAGCTTTCCTGTTCTACAGACAAAGTCTATTGCAATAAACAATCAAGGCTTCACAGAGACATACCTAGTTTGCATAGGGAGCTAACTGTTGGTACACACACACACACACACACACTCATCTCTTTCTGGCCTAGAGACAACCTTTCTAAGAAGACTCAACTCAGGAACAGCCAGTTCTTTTCCAGCAGAAGACATTGCACCAAATGTTGACTGGTTGGCCATCAACCATCACTGCTAGGAAGAAAAGTTTCAAAATAAATAAAGAAATGAAACAGATTGGCTTTTTGGAAAAGGTGTCAAACAACTATTTAATTAGTTAATATGCCGGGCCTAGTGTGTGTGCATGAGGAATTAAAGCCAAAAACTTGCCCAAAATATGGAGACAGGTGGGTGGTGGCGAATGTGTTCTTGATTTGGAGCCAAGTGTGCATTTCAATAGAATGATGCAGGAAAACTATGAAAAAGCCATAATTGGAGGATGTAGGGAACACCCGTATGTGTCCTAAGGTAGGTAAAAGTAAAGGACCCCTGGGCGGTTAAGTCAAGTCAAAGGCGACTATGGGGTGCAGCGCTCATCTCACTTTTCAGGCCGAGGGAGCAGGCATTTGTTCATAGACAGCTTTCTGGGTCATGTGGCCAGCATGACTAAACCACTTCTGGTGCAACGAGACATCGTGACAGGCAGAGCACATGGAAACACAATTTACCATCCCACTGCAGCGGTACCTATATATCTACAGTGGTACCTTTGGTTGCGAATGGGATCTGTTCCGGAGCCCGTTCGCAACATGAAAAGAGCGCAACCCGCAGGGGCACATCTGTGCACGCGACTCACCACTTATCACGCACATGCGCAGGTCATTTTGTGCTTCTGCACATGCGTGAGTGGCGAAACCTGGAAGTAACCCTTCAGGGTCGCCGCAGGACGTAACGTGAAAGAACGTAACATGAAGCGGACGTAACATGAGGTATGACTGTACTTGCACTGGTGTGCTTTCAAACTGCTAGGTTGGCAGAAGCTGGAGTATACCAATGGGAGCTCACCCCGTCACGCGGATTCAAACCGCCCACCTTCTGATCAGCAAGCTCAAGAGGCTCAGTGGTTTAGACCAGAGCACCACCCGCATCTCCTAAACCAGGGTTATTGCACAGACAGCCTGAACAACTATGCCAGGTTCCCTACTCTGAAAGATGATGATGCCAGATACAGGGATGTGACAGAGGATGAGGGGCTGGTCCTCACTGTTTCCCTCAATCGATGGTAATCACACAAAGAAGCAAGGCCTGGTTCAGGCAGCCATTAATTATTTCCAGTAGGCCTTACTCTAAATGCTTGTTGATGCCAAAGTTGTTTTAATAAAACCACACTCTGTCTCCAGTCAAGCACACAGTCGCTGTAGGAAACTGCAGCACTTTCCTTTCATAAACATATAATTGGGAAGAACATATCTACAATCTCATGCTTATTCACTTTGTTCCTTATAGAAAGCACAGGTTTCTCCCTATTAACATTTAAGGATCTTCCTCTGGCTGCTTCACTCCAGGCAGACATCCCCATCAGTATCCTGAGACGTTTCTCTCAGCAGTCATTCTCCCTTCCTCACACATACACACAGAGAGAACAGAAAGCAGTTAAAAACGACAGTTACTTGAATAACAGTCACAACAGAATGGAATGCCTCTCTCATGTGACTCACAGTCAGCCAATCACATGAGAGATACTGCCGTGCTAAAAATACACAGCAATTCAACATAAGCAAACATTCCCATTCCAGGAAATTAAACCATTTACCTTAACAGTTCCATGCCTGGGGGTGTTTTTCAAAGTTATCTAGCTGCCATTTGGAACCCCAACTGTACAGTAGCATTTTTCCCCTGTGGCAACCACACCCAAGTTCATGAAACATGAGGGATTTCATGGATTCCTTTAACGCTGAGCCCCCCCAAACCCTAAACAGTTAAGTAAGCAGCACGTTTAAGACTAATTTTATTCAGTGTCAGGACCGATACAATTCATCCTGCTGCTTCCGATAAAGATGTGGAGATACTGGTTGTAAGCAATGTGAGACAGTTAACAAGGGCAAACACATTTTTGTCTAAAGCAGAGTTGTTTCTCGTTGCAGTATCTTCAGGTATGGATTTCTTCCTCTTTCGTTCCTAAATTGTTTCACAGGTTCTTTGTAAGCATCACAGCCACCAAGAAAGCCATCAACATTTTAAAAGCACCATAAAAAGGTGCCTCTGTGCATGAAGTACACAGCAGGTGGGCTTCATAAAACTCTTTAACAGAACACTGCAGAAGAATCTCACACAGAAAGCCTGGTAACATCTGCTTTGCAGAAGTGGCATAAACATAACTGAAGCGAACACATTTCCCTTATATGCGCATGCATCACCCTGTGGTTTTGAATTCCCCCTTCTCCCGCATTACAAAAATGGTCTTTAAACATTCAAATAATCTATGTAAGTTTAGGTGCTTGCCAGTAAAAAGCAAGATTATGAAACTGTTTATGATGGGGGTTGTAGGACTCTTACGGGTTCTTACCGACTTTCCCAGGGAATGCTTTCCATTCCTCAGAGGATAAAAAGACAGGAGTAGAGTCAGTCTGTTTTTGGCGTTAGTCAATGGCCATTACAATATAAACCACACACATACAATCCAACAGTACTCTTTGGGTGAAAAAATGGGAGTAATCTGTAAGGTCACGGCCCTATGAGTCCTGGAAGACCTGTTCCCAGCTTTGTAGGCCCCTTTCTACCTGGCCTGGCAGGTTGGGGCCCTGACTGACTCCAGCTACAGAAGCTGAGGGGAACTGAACAGACTCTTGGGTTGGGGTATTGTTTAGGGTTTTTTTTTTGCTGTATGGGCAGGGGAGCATTTTTGTGTGTGGTATATTTATTTTAGATCTTATTATTTGTGTGGAAATTGTTTAATTTGGTTGTGTACCTTTGGATGATTTACTTATTGTTTATGACTACTTTTGCTTTGCTTGAAATTGTAACTTTTTCATGTTGTAAGCCACCTTGAGTACGGCTTTAGCTACGGAAAGGTGACCTACAGATAAAATTATGTATGTAATTTATGTATGTATGTATGTATGTATGTAAACTATGTATGCATTACGAGAAATTCACACTAAAATGCTGATGAATGTTTATGAAGGTGATGATGACGATTGTTTGCAAATGGCTGCAGAAATGGGAAGAAGTGAATCTGAGACTGGAAAAATTAGAAACTGAGAGAGGGGGAAATGACTGATCCTTCCACCCCTAGCTGAGAGACACAACCCAGGACCAGATAGTTCAAGGCAGTTCTTCCAGGTTTCCTTCTTTGAGTGCATACATGCTCACCCTTCCAGCTTTTTGAGTCCATGGCTCCCTTGACCAACTACATTATTTCTGTAGCATCCCTGTGGAGCTCAGGAGCCCAGTTATGTCAACCCTTGCCTGCAGAGCCAACATCCTCTCACCCTTTTTCAAGGGCCAGGGAAGAGGATGTCCCCAGCCTTAGTGGCCCAACGGAGACTGGCTAAAGGTGAATGTAAGGCCAGCACCTTACCTTGAGAGGCAACAGTGGCAGCCTGCCTGACCGGCCTCCCACTTGTCTGTCCATTCCCAACAACAAGGGCTGGTGGACTGGCTGGCCGGGCTCCCTTGCCTGCTTGCTTGCTTACTCTGAGGCTGCCCCAGCTACTGGCAGCCAGCACTTGCTGGCCATCCCCAGAGGCACCATTCACCTGTGGAGCTTGTAGCCAAGGCTGCTGCAACAAACAGCTGTGTAAGCTTTCGAGAGGCAGAAAAGTGAGAGGACATCAGAGGAGGGAGATAAGGAAAGAGGGACAGAGGCCATTGTTGCTCACGGCACCCCTGACTATTGTTCAAGGCACCCCAGGGTGCCACGGCACACTGGTTGAAAACCACTGCCCTATGAAATACAATCCACCTTATCATCTAGCCAAAGGATAGTAAGTGGCTGGATTGGGCTATAAATCTGGCAGTTGTGTTCTGATCACTGTTAAATTGGATTAGCTAATTAAGCGAAATGCCTCACCAGTCTGTAGTTTCTCGTATTCACAATGCAAGAATTTAGACTAGTAATTTTGTGTTCAAACAGTCACTGGGTGATTAGCCCCAATTGTTTGCATTTAAGGGATTTAACTTTCCCCTCCTGATGAAACCACTCTGGCTCTTTGCTGAGCAAAAACACTTACAATTTCGCCTCAGTAAATTGCTTTTATTTGCCTCTAATTAGGATAGCTTATGGGCTGTATTGGTGCACTTAACATAATAAACAATTTTCTTTTTCTCTTTTTTCTTTTAAATCAGCGTTAGCTTCAGGAACACGCATTTAAGCATGGAAATAACTCTTCTCTCTTGAGTGAAAACACTAATAATTGAGAAAGTTGAACAAATTGCCCGCCTAGGTTTTGCTAAATAGCCAGGTATTATCTTTTTACATCAAAGAGAATAGAGTGGTGGAAACGATATAGCCACAGGGCGCGGAGGGAGAAGGAAGAGGAAAGGAGAAAATTGGTCCATTGATCATTTCGTCCAAAGCTATTAGCTGATGAGGTCTGACCTTGATCAACACAGTTCAGCAGCAAGCAATACAAATTCAATTTTCTTATAATCAGAAAACAAGTTGTTCCTTTTGATACTGTTGGGTGAGGCAGGACACAGGGATGAAGTCAAAAACTGTAAATTAGGACATGTTTACATGGAAATAATTATGCTAAGTTGTTTATCATCGGGGTGGGGAAGAAACACCACCACTCCATTGTGACACCAGAACTTAATCATGGGAGACCTACATCCTGGGGGAAAAACTGCTGCTTGTTTTCAACCTGTGGGCAGAGCCAAATCTGCCTACCTTTCATTGAAGGAATGGGAAAATACATATGGGTCATTCCATGCCAAATCACCTGGTGCCATGTGCTCACACGACTCAGATTTTCTTCAATTTTTTAAAAAATGTGTAGATACCTATGAGATAACCTCAAAATAAATTGCATTAGCTTAACTTGTGCGTAAATCGAAATTTCCAAAAAATTCTCCTGCGCCCAATTTTGGACCAAAAAATCTTAAAAAATTAATTTGAGGTTATCTCATAGGTAAAGGGTAAAGGGACCCATGACCGTTAGGTCCAGTCACGGATGACTCTGGGGTTGCAGCCCTCATCTCGCTTTACTGGCCGAGAGAGCCGGCGTACAGCTTCTGGGTCATGTGGCCAGCATGACTAAGCCACTTCTGGCGAACCAGAGCAGCGCACGGAAACACCGTTTACCTTCCCGTCGGAGCAGTACCTATTTATCTACTTGCACTGCATGCTTTCGAACTGCTAGGTTGGCAGGAGCTGGGACTGAACAACGGGAGCTCACCCCTTCGCAGGGATTTGAACCGCCAACCTTCTGACTGGCAAGCCCTAGGCTCTGTGGTTTAACCCACAGTGCCACCCGTGTCCCCTATCTCATAGGTATCTAAACATACGGTACATTTTTTAAAAAAGAAAATCTGAGTTGTGAGAGCACAGTTAAGTATTAAAATCAGGTGATTTGGCGTGGAATATCCCATATGTAAGCATAGGAGGAGTTAGCCTGAATAGTAGTGTCTCAATTCATAGAATCATAGAATCATAGAGTTGGAAGAGACCACAAGGGCCATCGAGTCCAACCCCCTGCCAAGCAGGAAACACCATCAGAGCACTCCTGACATATGGTTGTGTCAGGGAACTGCCATCGGTAGGAAGGGAGGTGAAAGGACTCAGACAGGTTGGAAGAGACTTAGCAGCTGAAGAGGAAACCAGCAGGGGAGAGAAGCTGAACTGAGGGAGGTGAAAGGGCTCAGACAGGTTGGAAGAGACTTAGCAGCTGAAGAGGAAACCAGCAGGGGAGAGAAGCTGAACTGAGGGAAAGGGAGCTGGGGGATGGCTCAGAGATACTTCCAGCGAAAACAGTGGTGAGGTTTCCGGACCTCCTGTAGCGACACCCACTCCTCGCCGGAAACTGTCACGCAGAGAGTCCAGAAGACGTGTTTCCGTTAAGGAGCTTTTATGTTGGAAGCGATTACGAAAGCAACCACTGTCGGAATCTTCTAGTGACTAAGAGGAGCCATGTCAGGGGCTCAGTCACAGACAGAGGTTTGTGGACTTGAACAAACTCTGAGGGAATACGATTTTACGCACAAGCAGCTCATAATCCCATCACAGCATTCCGACAGTCTTTGAACGCAGCTTGTGCAGGAGAAGGCATAATGAGCAACCCAGCAGGAACCGGAGAAGCAGGGGCTGGAGCGGGTCCAAGCCTGGAAGAAAGGTACCGAGTGTTGGAGGTCCAGCTGGCGCTGCAGACGGCGAGGCTGGAGGAGAGGAGGGCTCAAGATGCAGACAAAGGGAGAAAGCCACCCAGCTCGCCAGAAAGGTACCAGGATTGGTGCAAAAATTTGAGGGAGCCCAAAGACTATCATAGCTTTCGGACAGAAATGCAATATGCCCTCAATCTGCAGTTTGATGATTTCCCTGATGAGGAATCACGAGTGGCTTTTGTGATTGGGCATCTTGATAAGTTGGCGAGAGACTGGGTTAGACCCCTGATGGCAGCTAATAGTGACGTCTTAAAGGACACGATGAAGTTCTTTCGCGCCATGGATCTGATGTTTTCCAGCGATATTGAAAAGGGAGTGGTGCGCAGACAGTTAATGGCTTGCAAACAGGGGAGCCGATCTGTACGTGAGTACTGGACTGAGTTCACCATGCTGATACACAGATTGGGGTGGGACTTATCGGCGGAACCCATTCAAATGCTCTTTGAAGAAGGGCTTTCTTCGGCTGTGAAAGATGAACTTTCCCGGGCGCCCAGGGCGGAGTCTATGGACCAGCTGACCAAATCAGCGCTGGCCATAGGAGGCGCGCCAGGAGGCGAGAGCATTGGAGAGGCGGGAAGGGAAGGGGAACGTTGGAAGGAGTTCCGCATTCCAGAAATTCCAGAGCCAACTGTCCCGCCGGCAGAGCCGATGGAAATCGGAACAGCGCGCGCGCGCAGTTTCAAAGCCCAGTGAGGGGAAAGAAGGATGGAAAAGGCGCCCGGAAATGCTATCTCTGCCAACAGCCAGGGCACTTTGCCAGAGTCTGCCCCCAGAGGAAGGAATGGCAAGGGATGGTGGGAGCGGTGGAGGGAAGAGAGGAAACAATACCGGAGCAACTAAAAGCCAACGCCTGGCTGCCATTGTCGGGGCACAGCAGCCAGGCCAAAGAGCAGTGAAAGTGCCCACTCCAGAACCTCCTAAACCCGCCCTAGTGATAGAAGTGACACTAGAGCTCCCAAACGGACACCCTCTAAAGATAAAGGCGCTGTTGGACTCAGGCAGCTCCTGCAATTTCATGAGCAAAGAGTTTGCAGCTGAACACCAGATACAGACGCTCCCTTTAAGCAACCCCCTGCAGGTAACCACGATCGATGGCAGGGAGCTGTTGGGAGGAGAAGTCAGCTTGCAGACCGTCCCAATGATAATGAAGGTGGCAAGGCACACTGAACTGATAGCTTTTAATGTGGCCACCTTGGGAGGAGCTCCCATTATATTGGGGATGAGCTGGCTAGCGTTACATGATCCGCTGGTGGGCTGGCATCAGAGAGTGGTTTCTTTTGGGTCAGCACATTGCTTAGAACATTGCAAAGAGGAAAGGTTTTGGCAGGGGCCCAAGCCACCCTAGCAGGGACTGAAGTGAAGGAGAACGTGAAGGTACCACGACAATACGCAGATCTCCGCGACGTCTTCAGCGAAAGGGAAGCTGACCAACTACCACCGCATAGAGCCTTTGACTGTCAAATCAATTTGCTCCCTGGGGCACAGCTCCCTGTGGGCAAGCTGTACGCCATGTCAGACAGAGAGATGCAGGAGCTAAGAGAGTTCATTGACAAGAACCTGAAGAGAGGGTTCATCAGAGAGTCCAGGGCGGTGGGGGCAGCCCAGTGTTTTTGTGGACAAAAAAACACGAACAAGCCGAGACTGGTGTGTGACTTCAGGGCCTTAAATGCAGTGTCAGAACCAGTGGCCTTCCCGATGCCCAGGATTGACGACATTTTGACAAGGGTGCGAAAGGGAAAGATTTTCACCAAGCTGGATCTAAGGGGGCGTACAACCTGATACGAATAAGGAAGGGGGATGAATGGAAAACCACCATGTTCACCCCTTTAGGGGCATTTGAATACTTAGTTATGCCCTTCGGTCTACAAGCAGGCTCCGCAACATTTCAATCGTTTATGAACCACGTCCTGGGGCCGTTGCTTTACAAGAATTGTGTGGCCTTCTTAGACGACGTGTTGGTGTATTCTGAGAATGAGGAGCAGCATGTGAGAGACGTCAGAGAAGTGTTGAGCAGGCTGCAAGCCAACCAGCTGTGGGTGAAACTGGAGAAGTGTCAGTTTCATACCAAGGAGGTGGAATTCCTGGGGTATCGCCTGTCTGACAAGGGGTTGGCCATGGATCCCGGCAAGGTCCAGGCGGTACTGGAATGGAAAACACCCAAAACAAGGAAGGATGTGCAGAGGTTTTTAGGGTTTGGGAACTTCTATCGTAAGTTCATCCCAAACTTTGCCCACCTGACGGCGCCCATTACGGACTGTCTCAGCAGTAAGAAGAAGTTCGTTTGGACGGAGGAGGCGGA